GTGTGGGACAATGGTAATCGCCACCCGTGACCTTTAATTTAAAATGCATTACAGTGAAAAGGTAAAGATAACCACCTCCTTTGAGCTACAGGATTTAATCTAAGCGTGTAACGTAATAATATATTGTTTTTACAAAGATTTCATGAGGTGGTTCCAGGTTAAATCAGTATTGTTTAACATCAATCTAACAGCCATTAAAGACCCAGCTGAATGTCAAAACAGGAAGTGTTATCACATACTTTAGTCACACCATTGTCTCAGTGTGTCACATTAAAAACTTGCCTCTCAAACCGAACATGTTTTTTTATTAACAACTGATGTAATAACCTGAAACTGGTTCAATGAAAAGCCGAACCCTTGGACTCAGAAGTGAAAAGTGGTAACGCTGCATTTATGTGACAGCGCTGCAGCTCCCCGGGGTCGAGGGGGGGAGGATTAGGGTGGGACGGGTGAGTGACAAGTCTCATCAAGGCCACTCCTGCCAGAGACTGCCCCTCCACCCAATAATACAGTAATATAGTAGGGGGGTATATCTAGGTCAGTAGCTGGGGCACTGTCTGCACAGAGTGAATGTACGGTATTGGCTGGTGCCCAAAAAAAGGATGTCACAGTTTGCGGTAGTGAATATTCTGTATTTATTCATTTATTTATTTTTACTGGTCAGCATAAAGACGACCAGTTTCCTGAGGGAAAAATGAAATTCTGAAAGACACTGCAGTTTAACACAGGACCAATGTGGATGTAGAGCATATAATCCTGTTTCGTATTCATAGAAATGTGTCTTTGGGGTGATTTTGCTGAGGAATAACCCGAATGCAGCACCACGCTTTCATGCTGACTTTGTTCATTTGCATTGCAGAATCCTGTCTGAAATACTTCAATCCCTCCTCCCCCATGGATGGCAAAGGCACGCCCAGACGCACACACACAGACACACACCTTAAACGAGGGCCGATTGGTAGAGAGACACGGACACAGATTAATGCAGACTAACGACAGAGGCTGAGCACTGCAGAAAATATAAGTGTCCATCTGCCCCGTGGACCAGATGAAAGAAACACTGCATGCATACCAGAGTGGGCTAATAACATCTTTCTCTCTGCAAGACCGTCAGAAAGTGGCTGAGTCAGTGGGTCTCCAAACAAATGACAACATGGAAAATCCAACAGTAATTCTCCTACGTCCGTTTCTTCATGCAGGCTTGGATGCTGCTTGTGTTTCTAACCCGGCTGAGGTCACGCTGAATGACTGCATTCTATGGTTTGACAGATATAAAGGTTTGCTGATATTCTACACTGATACAGGCCTCGTATGAAAGATCAAATATCTACCACTGACGTGATGGGGGTTTCCCTCTGCCATGGAAGAATGCTTGGTAAAACCTACAATTAGACTTTTTTTTTGCACCTGAAAACTCACTCTTCATTATAAAAGCTGCTCAGTGTCCCAGATTTCACCCCAATCCCCAAACAACAGCAGAGAGTCCACTGAGAGTTGCTTGGACACATTAGCATTACTCACAACAACAACATTCTGGGGTAAAATTTGAATATTGGTCTTCTTTGGGATGAAATTGATCACTGTTATTCTATTATTGATTATTCTGCTGGGCATTTTTTTGATGAATCGCTCTATGAAATGAAAAAAATGCTTATCTCGGCTCCAGAGAACTAGCAGTGACATCAACATCCCACCAGAAACAAAAACTATTCAGTTTAGACTCATATGGAACTAAAAAGGTTAATCTCTCTTAGAAATAGTTGTATTTGCAGATAAATCTTCTGATGATCGACTAGTCAATGAATCGTTGCAGCTCTAAAATAAATGCACTGTGTAGTGAATATAGGGACCTGGCAGAGATAACAAGGTTGGGAGCCAATGCCTAACCTTCAATGAGCCCCTTTTCTTTAACTGAAGGCTTTCGAGTTCCCTTTATTCACTCATTCATCCCACTTGTTTGTATAACTTGCATAAAGCCCAGTGACTTGTTCTACCTGTGGACAAGGAGATATCTTTTTTTCTTTTAGCCGATTCAAAAAAACATGTTTTTATTTCTCTTCATGAGTGGATGCATTTTCAAAAGTAGGCTAATGCTGAAGTACAACTGCACTTGTATCTAGGGGGCTTCATGGATTAACCAAGCTATGAAAGTAGGCTGTATATTAATCTTCATATCAAGCTGTAGTCTTGAGCTCCACCCAAGTCATGCATGTCTAAGTCTATAGTCTCTTAATAACATCCTGCAAGCTGATGTCTTTAAGACAGAGCTGAGATATATTTACAAGAAAAGCAAATGTGTGGTTGATATAATAATTCAATATCAGAAAATTCAAGATTACTTTATTATGAAGGCAGATAACATGATAAAACTTGATTTCCTTATCAAACCACATTAGAGAATAATAGATTCTAGTGTTGGAATGGCGACCATATGAGACTATCACAAACACGTAACGTCTCTTTACCTCCAGCCAGAAATTCAATCCCATTACACAAAGCTCCGCAATCGTCTCCATTACCAAGGTAGCATAGTGAAGCAGCTACAGCAACTTAAACTCTCCACTCCAGTGCAGGAAGGTGAGCGCTAAAAGGACAAGCTGTGTTTCCAGACAGATCCCACGAGAGAAGAAAACAATTGGTTGCTTTTGGAAAACGTGTCACTTTGATAACCAGGCACGAAGAGATCTATTCCAGGTTTCTGAAAGTCATATGAGAAGGCATCTGCAATCCACTGCGGCCACTAGAAAGAGAGAGTGCACAACTCCACCAAGAGCAAACAGTCCCCTTAAATTCAATAGACTGTCAAGATGGACAACATCTGTCCACGTCCTCCCACTATCCAGAAATGAAATATCCCTGTTTCAAACGCTGTCATCTGGCAACAATGTGAGTCTCAGCTGTCAATCGTGATGTTTTACTACATCAAATATGTAATTAAAACCAAATTTACTGGACTGGGCATATTTCAGTATAATATAAACTACCTAAAAAAACAGAAACCATCATGTACTTTCACTTCTTAGTTTGGCTCCTGTCCCATTCAGTGCATGGGCGGGGGGTTATGACCTATTCTGCTGCCAGAACCCAGGGGGTGATTGAGACACTGTGGCTCCAATTTTGGTTCGCTGTCATGACGTTCATCTTCATATCCAGTTAATGAGCAGCACCAAATTGCACACAGTCATTGAGATCCATGAATTATTCACTGGGAAAATGTCAAAAAAACACAAAAAACGCCCTATTTTGCAATGTTAACAAGGGCAATAACCAGATCTGTGCCAAAATGTAATGGGTACTTTCTTTGCTCATGTTGAATCCTTCAAACAAGTTTCAGGGAAATCTGTTCACGAAAAAACAAACAAATGGAGATGGAGCGAAAACATAAACTCCTTGTAGTAACAAATGCACCCTGGCAGTAAAGGTGAGCTGGAAGCCAGGCGGCCATATTTATTGTCAGGACAGCAAATCAAGGATATCACTTACTCTTCAGCCTTTGTGTGACCGCACTGCTTTGTAAGAATGAAAACAGCCGTCCTGTCAAACTGTTTCATCGACATTCATCCCGACTGTCGAGCTGAGCTTCAGTGTAAATCCTCTCCTAGTAAAGACGCACAGCGATACCGTCTACCGTCTACCCCCCGTCCCCCCAGCGCAATAAAACCTGGAAGGGGAAGCTACAGTAAACGCCATCCTCTTCATCACTGACAATGATGCATTATAGACTGCATTAATCAGAGCTTATCAGATGCAGTCAGACTGGGGGGAAGCACTCACAAGCGTAATGTGTGTGTGTGCAAGCTTGGCTGACTTATGCATTAGAGAGTATGCATTAGTGTTTGTTGGACTAACGCCATCTGTATGCAGTGCTGTGGGTGCATTTAAGACACTGAATATAGTAAATGGGTTAAAATTAGAGCTGCAAGATCACTTGATTAATTGATTAGTTCAGTGATTGCCAACCTTTTCTATCCCCCACAGTTCTTTATCACACCCCTCCGATTAGTGGGATGACTTCATGGTATCTCACTGGAGAGAAAATACTGCTCTAAGTGAATCCATACAAGACCTTCAGGAATTATTTATGGTCAGACTCTATTTTTTCCCCCTTTAAGACGGTGACAGAAACTGGACATTCAACCATTTGCGGGATCTTTACTTCAAGATTTTTGTTGTTTTTACTGTTTTAATAAACTTACAACTGAGGTTGAATATGCAAATTTGCGATCCTACATTTTCCTCCTAAATAAATGTATCAGTAATTTCATTTTTCTTGCCATGTACTTTTTTACAACTGCACGAATTTCCCCTCCTTCCATTATATTAGTTGAAATTATCATTAATGGTCATTTTAGAGGCAAAAACACCAAACTGTTCCAATTCTAGCTGCTCAAATTTGCTGCTGTACTTTCACTCACATGATTGTAAGGTGAATATATTTGGATTCGGGGCTAAAATCTAAGTGCCGCACATCGACATCGACACTTATCATCGATGTCTCTTTTATATCGGTGTCTTTCCATGTGGTCTGCGTCTACTGTGTGTATGGCTCCTTGTTTGACCCTGAGATGTTAGCATTCAGTTTTGCATCCATCAGGTGTTAAAAACGTCACCAACACGCCCCACTTCCTCATGTTGAATCCGGATAATCTCCTGCTGTTTTTCTCACATGGGCTCATGGGGGGTATTGTTTTTACTTAGGCTTGGCAGGTGAAACTCAGGAGAATGTCCACAGCAACTGACTCAGACATTTACCTTTTGTCACATACAGGAGGTTAATTGCAGGAGAATATCCGGAGTTCAGCAGAAAGCAGCTAATGGCGGATACAGATGTTAAATTGCGTTATTGTTTTAAATGCACTGGTGCAGGATCAGTGTTCAGGGCTGTATTCACGATGCAAGGCTGAATAGAAGATGTTTTCCCCGGCATCTCATCCACCTTCTCCCCGTGAAAAGAGGCCAGTTCACACGCATTAGCAACAGGAACAATATCGGGAACTCACCTGCCCAGCTCGTCTCCGATTTCATAAAATTCCTCAACATTTTCCTGGTTGAAAACAGTCATGGTGTCCAGGCGCTTCCTCCGCGGAGAACCACACGGCGCACCGGCTCTTCACAGCGGCACCATCCCTACCAGGAGCCCCCGGTCCGGGCAGGGTTACAGCCGACAGTCCCCCTCATCGTAGCCGGGGGTGTGCGGGGGCTTTGTGGAGACCGAGGGGAAAAGGACCTCGACTGTGACTGGGGGAGGAAATGAACGTGTTTAGGAGGAGGAAGAAAAACACGGTGGGTCAACAAAAGGAACACGAAATGAACCTGCACCTCCGGGGCGACGTCACGACTCCCGGACCTGGTCTCTCCTTCCTCCCGAACCTGATCGCTCCTTCCTCCCGGTGCCTGCTCTCCCCTCCAGGAGCCACTTTACCTCAGACACCTGCCGGGGTTAGAAACAGAAAACAGCCGCATGACTACCAATGTGTCGGTGGGTGGGTGTCGGTGGGGAATGCTAACAACCCCCCGGGAGAAGCGTGGTGTAGCCATGGGAAACACGCCGACCTCCGCCTCCCTCCCTCCCTCCCTCCCTCCCTCCTCCGCCTCTTTCCCGGTGCTTCCAGAGCAGCCTGCCCCGGTAAAAAAAAAAAAAAAGTCACGTTAACGTCCCCGTTCAACAACAACCCGGGAGGAACCGGGAGACACGGGTTCGTTAAACCAGCAGCTCCCTGAATCAAACGCAGTCAGGGGGGGATTCACGAACACTAACGTTAGCTGCCTCCGTGCGTTTCCTCCCGTGGTAAAACAACTCAGACGCCTTTCGGTGAACACCGGGTGGAGTCTCTTACGGTGGTCCGGTGTTGGGGGGGGGGGTCCCACCTCTCCGGTGCAAGCCCAGCGGCTCAGGCGGGTGTTGTAGCGGGAGGCAGTGCTCCGGGCTCCGGGCTCACGGACTCGAACCTTCGGACTGAACGAAGAGAAATCAACGTTAACAATGCGCGGCGGTCTGCTGCTGCCGCCGCCTTCAGGGGCCGTGGGGAAAAAAAAAAAACTCGCGGATACCACTCGGATACTTCACGTTACATCGAGACACCGCTGACATCACTTCACGTTACACCGCTGATGTAAAACTCAGTGGACAATCGTGTCCCGTTGGATTTAATTTAAGCTCAGCTGCGAGGTTTATTTGTTTGTTTTTTAAATGTTAAGAAAAACCACATTTATCCACGCGAAAGCAAAACATTACCGTGTTTTTTTTTGCAGGCACGTAAACGCAGCACCAGTACCTGTCAGCTGGATGGCAGAAAAGATTTTATTATAATATAAATATATTTATATATATATATATATATATATATATATATATATATATATATATATATAAAGATACCCATGGACAACCATTCATTTATTTAATGTCAACATAAAGAATGTTACATGACATTATCATTGTTTTAGTTTTACAGTCATAACAACACTCATGGACACTTTTTTTTAAAACTAATGTCTTTATTGTCAGGAGTCATTTTGTGTCAAGATACAAACCTATTTATTATCATATTTATAAAGACAAAAATCTCCGAATCAATGTTCTAAGAATCATTCATTGTCTTGAGTCATTTAATGAAAACATACAAAATCAGAGCATATTCAGCATTTTCTTTTCTTTTAATACACATTAACTTAATCAATTTCGTGAATTCCTTTATCGTCTTGTCATATTTTTCAAGATACAGATGTTTTTAATGACATATACACTCTAAACTCACTTGAAAATACAGCAAATATGACCCAGGCTTCTTTTTCAGAATCAAATGATCGACTCCAATAAGCCACCATCAATCCATTTTTTTCCATCGGGCCATTTTCTAAAACCCGATTATCCCCTGCAGGGCCTCAGAGGCTGGGACTCACCCTGGGACAGAGACAGGTCACACCCTGGATGATTTACTGAAAAACAAACTTCACAAATTAGAGCAGGAGGCCCCTGATGACCTTTCACCCCCTGGAACTCATTACGGCCATGGTTTGTATTGTACCTGCTCAGTCAAGGCAAAGTTACCATGTGGTCCTTCAGACGTCAAACTGTAAAGACCTGACATGTTGGACAGGGACTCAACCTCGATATCATCATAGTTGTGGATTGAATTCTTTTGTCTTCTGTTGTTGTGTTTGAGCTCAGTAAGATTCTTTCAGTGTTACACACTAATTCAAACCATCAGGCTGCCGTGGTGTGTGCCGCGGTGAGCATACTGCATCATCTGCTGGTGGAAAGAAAAACTGCAAACATGTAAAACAATGAGATTAATGTTAATGTTTTAAATTAAAATCATTCATTTCAATGAATGTTACAAACAGCAACATGTTGTGATCTTGTTCTCTTTATTGCAATGGAAACTTTAAAAGTACAAAATCCTACAAAATGATTATTAGGAAGAGCAGATCAAAAATCAGATTTCTCATACAGTAAAAAGTTACAGTTTCAGTTTTCAGGGCAAAAATAATACAACAAAAATGATTGTAATACATTGATAAATATCACTGATATAAGTTATTTTATGATTGATGATTATATTATTTTGGAAAGTACCACAGTGATGCTGGGATTTCAGCAAATCTGTCACATGAGATCATCGTCATCTTGCTCATTACGTTTTTACTGAACGGGTTCCACACGAGCCAAGAAAGAATTATTGAAACTGAGATGCTTTTTTGACATCGTCACTGATTTCCCTGGAAATAATTCATGTATCTTGATGAAAACAATCAGACAAATTCAGAGGACTGATACCTATGAGTCTGTGTAATTTGGTGCAACTTGAATTTAAGGCGACTGTTGGGGCTTAGCGGAGGAGAGAGCTTGCCAGGGTGTCATTCGTGAGCTGACGTTGGTGTGAGCCAGCTTCACGTACACTGAGCTCCAGCAGCAGATTCTTTAAGAGTTTAAACGGTGACAAAGCATTACAGGGAATATCCAGGGTTTGGATCAGAACTGACACATGACAGATATTCAGATAAAAACACTGAACCATATACATGGATATAATGAGGCACAGAGAAAACAACAATATGTGGGCAAATATAAAATAATGTACAATTATTGAACCAATTCCATTTGGTCTCTTACAAAAACCTCCACACATCAAATAATAAATTAAAGATTCACATGTCCAGCTGCTAATATAAAAACCCTGACCTTGTAAAATAATGTTTCCTTTCTTAACATACAGTCATCACTAAACCTTGACTGTCACATAAAACTATTTTTTACTAACTTATTTTCTGGTATACATTCTCGTCTTTATTGTTTCCAGGTAAGAATTCCCTTTATTTTTCAAATAGAAATGTGTTGGAAAACATGTTGAATCACGTATTGTGTATTTTAGGTTGATTGTCAGATGTAAAGGAGCGAAGGCAAACTTATGATTTTCAAATAATTCTGATGTGATGGTGAAAACAGGCTTTAAAAATAGGTTTAAATGAAGTAAGCAGTTTTTTTTCCCAGGTACATCCTGTGTGATCTGATCTGATCACTGCAGGTGTGAATGCACCAAAAACAACAAATGACACATTGCAGGAGACACATGAATGAAGACGTGTCTCTGGACATGTTGACGGACTTAAGGATCACCTGGTCCAGGCTGTAGTGTGTGAGCAGTGGGATAAACCTCCAGATACACATTCTGAAGTCTGCACTGCAGATTAGTTACTACACAGTCAACACAGTTCACCAACATTTGCAGGCAAAATAATCCATAGATGCTAAAAGCTGCCGAAGCTGAACCACATTCTGGTTCAGGTTCTGAACGACAGTAATTGGATCTAAACATGATCTGGAGTCTCCATGTGCAACGCTGCAGACTTGAATCAGACCTTTCAGCCTCCGAGTAGCTGTAATTGTAGAAGTCACTCAGAATCTAAACTCACTGAGGCACATTTTACAAACTCGAGGCAGATGATGACTTTATGGATAGTTTATCTTTAAAAAAAGATTTCTATCTAGAGTTTATTAACTTGGCATACGATGGAGTGTTGGGGTCAAACTGATGAAGATAATGAAAATAAGTTGCAATCTAATGATAAAAAATCATTTTGCTTCCTCCTCCACTAAAGAGGCTGGTTTTCTGATCTTCTCCATCTAAAATGACACACGGCCTAAAGTTATGACTTTCATTTAATAAAACTGTGTTTTATTGTTTTCCCCTTTTAAGTGGTCATAATTGTATTTTCAGGTACAAATGCAAAAAGTTATTTTTTTGCTCCAGCTCTTCAAGCAGAAGATCTTCAGGCTTAATTCTCACAACATTAAATTTCACTGTAGAATTTGTGTTTATAGATTTTTTTCTATGTGGATGAGTTGGAAGTAGGTCAACCAACGAGTTCTCAGACTCTTTTTTTCATCACTTAAATAAATCCCTGTTTTTTTAATGTGATTCCAACCCGGGCTGTGAATCCTCGTCCTTTTTATCTCAGCTCAGAAAAGAAGTGAAACAAAACAAACTGTTTTAATAAATGTCCTTCACAAGCTGGATGGTCCCACAACGCTGAAGCTGAATCCTGCTGCCAAAGTGCTGACTGCTCGTACAGCTTCCAGATATGAAACTAAAGAGTTTTAAAAAAGGACACTTGAGATATAGAAATGAAAGTTTCCTCTGCGACATGGCTTTGCTTTGTTTCCTGTTTCCAAAGTCCTGCTGTGGATCTGGACTCTCCTGGTTAACAAAGGCTGAGGAGTCTGTAAACATCTGTAAACATGTGTCTGGTGTCAGAAACCTTTCTCATCAGTCTCTCACCTGCAGGAGACATGAACACCCGTGATCCGTCAGAGGAGGCGACACATGTTGCTGCAGTTCCTTTACGCAAAATAAAGGCCAGCACGTTATTTTACAAAATAAAATGTTCCGAGCAGGAGCTTTTCACACCACGTCTGTGTAGATGAGGCGGATTTTGGAAAATCTTCGACACTCAGGAAAAGTCTGAGCTCTTTAGTATCAAAATTAGGATTCACATTCACACGTCCAGTTATCACGTCGTCCCAGATTCCTCCAGTACTCAGCTCTCTGTCCGTCAGAGGCTGGGGTCTCTGATTGTCCTGTACATCTGAAGCGACGTCACCTCCACATCCTGGACCCTGGCATTCTGGGGGCGTCCCGTCGGGCTGTATCCGGCCGATCGTCCCATCGGACTGAAGCCCATGGTGGTGCGACCCGTGTGCGCCAAACCAGAGGACCGCGACACAGCCGGACGCCGCAGGAAGCGGCCGGACGTCACCAGGTCCCCGTAGCCCTGCGCGTGCGAGAAGGCGTAGCCTGAACGGCGGGTGCTGGTGCGGCGGATGTGGGTGCGACGAGGAGGAGGGGCAGGGGTCGCTTTGGTCTGTCTCACTTTGAACATCACCTGAAAGTTTGGGCAGATGGCGACAAAGTCTGAATATTAGAGAGGCACACGGGGTGTACAGCGGGTCGTCCACTAACCAGGAGGTCGGTGGTTCAATGCCCAGCTGATTTGACTTGCATAGTGCACCCCACCAATCACAAGGAGCTTAAACCAAGTGTTTCAGACAGAGGCTGAAAAGAGGAGCTGCAGCAACGGAGAGTCAGAGGACAGTGATGTGTTTTCTGAACGTTAGAGCATTAAAACATTTTCATTTAATAACAGAAATTAAAATTACAAATCCAAATTTTGAGCCCATGTCTCCTTTAAACTGCAGTTTCCATAAACAGGTGCATTGGCAGAAAATATTCAGTGAGTCAGCTGTGGGTCACAGGAGGTCACTGAGGAAAGCTTCATCAGAAACAACGACATCTTGGAGAAGTAAAGTGGAGAGCGATAAACGTGGACCTGCACCTTGTCATTGATGGTGGGGCAGAGCTGGATCAACAGGAAGCGGTAGGTGACCACAGGGAGGATGCACAGAGTGGAGGTGATGAGGATCGTCAGCCAAACGTTCGGCTGATTCAGAGAGTTACGGGCTGTTCCTGGAAAAACACACACACACGATTCTGTGTTTAAACATGAATATATGACAGAACACACATCAACAAACAAGTTTAAACCTTTCTGCTGAAAAAACAAGTGATGAGGAGACTGAGAGAAGTTTCTATATTTATAATTAGAGCTGAGACAACAAACCCAATTAATTAGGTGATTGACAAAAGCTCAATCTTCAACTATTCATAGTCAATTTATTTAGAAATTGTCCAATAAAATGCCAAACGTGGAACTGTGGTGTTTTACTCTGGCCGACAGTTTCCCACTCACCTATGAAGGGAAAAGCCGACGGCAGCATGAGAAACATGCCGTTGCTGTACATGGTGAATGTGACGGCAAAGTACATCAACAGGCTGCCGAGGACGAAGATGGTGTTCACCGCCGTCCAGTACGACATCTCCAGCCCCAGCTGCAGACACACAGAGGAAACAGCGGTTTGTATTCCACGCCTGACAAGTGCAGAAGATCAAATCATCCCAAAATCTTCAGACCTGGATGCTGACGGCGAACAGCAGACACGTCTGGGTGAGGAGGGCGAAGGACTGGTAGTCAGCGACGTCCTTCCCATCGTCCCTCACCGTGTTGTGCATGGCGGCGTAGGGGATGAAGAAGAGCACCAGGGAGCTGTAGCCGCTGTGGAGGGCGCACTTGAAGAACGCCTTCTTGCTGAAGTAGAGGTTGAGCTGACCGGGGACGTAGAGCTGAGGATGCTGGAAACTCCACACGTCGTCCACATCCTGACCAGCAGGGGGAGACAAAGAGATTAGGCTTCTGTGTCGGCCGTCTGTCCACCTTCCACGATATCTCAAGAACCTCTTCAGGGAACTTCTTCAAATTTGGTACAAATGTTCACTTGGATTTAGAGATGACCTGATTTGATTTTGGTGGTAAAAACATGCAGTATGAAACTGTACCGGTTGGTGGAGTCATAAAAACCACAGGACTGCTTCTTGTTATTTTAGCCCTTAGCTTCATGTTCTGAATAATAATCATAACACACCTTGAGCTCAAACGTGCGTCTGAGAGGTGATAATACAAAGAGATTACATTTACATCCTTGTTGTTTTCAGGCACAAACACATTAACACACACATCACATTGTTACCTGATCAAACAGACTCATCCCCAGCACAGGTAGTGCTGTGTACACCAGGTTGTAAAGTGTTATGAACCACTCATCGTACACCGTCTGATGAGTTAACAAAAAAAAAAGAGGAGAATATTTTATATCTGGTTCAATCATAGTAACAAAACAAAGGTCGACTGACCATATCTACATTTTGTAAAACCTGTAAGACAGTATTTGCTGAGCCATCGTGATGTACAGGTGTCTACACAATGTGAAACGTAAAAGAAATAAGACAATAAATAAATAAATACCCAGCAGCATTGTGTCCCCGTTCTCTCACCTGTGCGGAGAAGCCGCAGAAGAAGGCGTACCAGAAGTGGATGAAGGTGAAGGTGAAGTTCTTATAGAAGAAGTAACGCAGGAACTTGCACATGCGTAGGTAGGACCAGCGGCCGTGCACCAGCAGGAGGCGCTGCAGGAAGCGGAACTGGGCGAAGGAGAAGTCGCTGGACAGCACGGCCTGCATCCCCTCCTGACCAGAGATGCCCACGCCGATGTGAGCCGCTGGGAAGAGAACAGGAAGGGAAGTCACGTATCTTTACATCGGTCTGAGGAAACTTAAGTTTGGTCTCCACCAGCTCCTGAGAAAAATGAGTTATATCCCTCCACTTAAAAGTTAGTGGAGGGATATTCTGTGTTGATTTAGTCCATTCTAAATATAAAAACATTTTCCGAGGGGGAGGGAACACCACACGAAGATCTCCGCTGCCCCTTGCTGGTACCTTTGATCATGCTCACGTCGTTGGCTCCGTCTCCGATGGCCAGTGTCACCACCTGCTTGTACTTCTTCACCAACTCCACCACCTGAGCCTTCTGCAGAGGAGTCACCCTGCAGCAGATCACTGCTTTACACATGCACGCCGTCCGCAGGAACTCCAGCTCCATGCTGCGCTCCAGGGCGTACGCCTGCGGGAGAAGAAGAGAAGAGTGATGCACAGGCAGGGATTAGAAAACTGCAGAAGATGTTACAACGTGAGAGTTTAATGTCTGCAGCTGGAAATGTCCACGCAGCTAAAATGCCGGTTAATGCCATTCATTTCTAGCAGATCAGATGTGATTCTTAAGAAAACAAACTAAAAGATGCGCTAATGCTGATTGGATCAAAGTTGGATTACTTTTGAAAACCTGACGATTATAATCTTGACTGAGAAACAAATAAAAACAGTCTTTGCTGTTTGATTTGTGTGATGGACACCTTCATGTTTTTACAAGCAAATCAAGTCACAAAGGAAAGTTACAGGATGCACGGTGATAATCAAAGTTCTTTACCAGACTGTGGCCGTTGATGACCAGGCCGTATTCTCCGTTCACCACTTCGTCCGTCATCACTTTCACTCCTTTCACCAGACTCCTTCCCGGCAGGAACACAGAATCCACTGAATCTGGTTTCATGGATGTTCGGGCATTTCTGCACCACAAGAAAATAAAAAAACTGGTTGGATCCATAGAAACGCTTCACAATCCGCTTCTCATGTTCAGTCTGGATAATTTCTTTTTTTTTTTTTACTTTAGAACTCTGACCTCAGTTCCTCCTGGACGTCATCCGGTGAGTTGCCAGAGACGATGAAGATCTCGTTCATCTCCTCTCGCAGCAGGTTGCACGAGTAGCCGATGTTTTCCGCAGTTTCTGCAACACAAATTAAAAACGTCAGTGAACGGACAATAACCACAACCTTCTTGTAACTGAAATACTAAAAACTATAGTTCATAAAACAGGAAAAATAATCTCCTTGTCTTGTTTCCATGTAAAGAAGTTTATATAAAGTTGTTTTATATCTAAAACCTGGAAGTTACAATACCTTGCTTGTCGCCGGTCAAAACCCACATTTTGATGTCGGCTTTGGAGAGCTGCTCGATAGTCTGAGGTACTCCGTCTTGTAACTTGTCTTCTATGGCTGTTGCTCCGAGCAGCTGGACACACATTCACACACATCATCATCATCATCATCATCACCAAAAGTTTTATTTAATAGAAATCCAGTTCTGTTTGTTTCGCTCTTTACCAGCAGATCCTTCTCGATCTCCTCGTACAGCTGGTCCAGTTGGCTCTCCCGGTCGTCCAGCGTCGTGCTGGCCTCATGGTGGCGCTGCTTCCACTTGCTGAAATACTCCTCATCCAGGTCCTTGTAGGCCAGCACCAGCGTCCGCAGACCCTCCCCTGCAAACTCCTGCAGATCGGGACGCACATTAGAGGAAAAACCAAACTCAACCTCAGAAAACAAAACTTCACAGATTCCAAACTTTTCAAACTGAAGGATTTAAATGTGTTTTCACTCTTGGGCCTGTTCAACAAACAGAAGTGTTCCTCACATTCAGGTGCTCTGTGGTGACCTCCATCAGTTTGCTGCAGGACTTATGCAGCCTCTCGTAGATGATAGTGTCTGCACCTTTACAGTAGAGAGAGAGTTTCCCCTCCGGACTCCGAACTGCAAACACAAACACACAAACTCATCCGTGAGAACAAAGTTAGGAATCACCACCAGTTTGACTTTGAGGTAAAAGGTTTATAAGAGAAATCTAACTAAACAAGAGCCTTCATTGATATATATTGATATATGTAAGATTTTATACCTATGACGGACATCCTCTTGCGGACGTTGTTGAAATCCAGGATGGTCAGGAGCTCGTAGCTGCGCTGCCGTCCCATTTCCACGATGGAAACGCTGTCCGGCGTTCGTGAGCGGAAGACAAAACCGAAGTTTCTGGCTGCCGTGACCAACGCTCCCTCATCTGGAGACTGAGCCTGGTAGAGCAGCTCACCTGCAGGAGAAAAAAAAAACCTTTGTTTCATTTATGACTCTCCTTCCCTTGTTCAAAATTGCTGAAAGTTTACTTCCAAGGTTATTTAAACTTGAGATTTTAACAGAATCTGAAGGAAATGTGATTTTATTAGAGTTGATCCAATCACAAATATAAATACACACAGATCTATATAATCATAATAAACAGAAATGTAAAGCATTCAGGAAAAGAGGCAGATGGACGTCCTGGATACCGACTCACCTTCTTTCTTCTCCTCAGCCATGACGGTGTGGCAGAGACTCAGCAGTCTGAAGAAGTCATGCACCTCCTGGTTCTCCAGCTTCACCGCCTCCACCAGCGCGTGGTCGTGGAACCTGAAGCGGGGGTCGGCCAGAAGGTTGAAGGAGAAGTCCACCGTCTCCGTTTGCTGGAGAGACAACAGAAGACACCTTTACTGTCTCCACCTTCCTACTTGTGCCTAGTAAAAGTGAACTGTAAGATTAAGACTAATGATCCACCTCAGTAATTTCTAGTCTTTGTCCCTGGTGGTCGTACACGTCTCCTGCAAAGAAGAAGAAAGGGATGAATCAACACTTTGGTTTTTCTTTTCTTTGCTTTCATCATTAAATCAAGTTTATTTATGAAGCAAATTTAAAACATAAAATGTTTAAGTCCCTTTTAGCAATTTGTCCACGAGAATATTCCCAGTGGAACCTTTTTCTGATACGGTCAAAAACACAGAACTGGAAACCACCACAGAAAATAAATGTCTTGAAACTTACCGTAGGATTTGCCGTTGATGGAGCACTTGTTGAAAGTCATGATATTCTGAGTGAGCGTCCCCGTTTTGTCACTGAAGATGTACTTGATCTGTCCCAGCTCCTCGTTCAAGGTGGTGGTCCGAGCCTCGGCGGGGGTGTCGTTGTGAGCGTGGTACATCTTCCTGTCCCAGTCGATGTAGAAGCTGTTCCCGAGCCGAATGATCTCCACACTGCCAAACAGATGTTGATACAGGAACTGATTAGAAGGAGAAACAGTGTTTTTGCCCCCGTCCGTTGGTTCGTTACGCAAAAACTACCAACTGGCTTTCCGAGAAACTTTAAAAGGATGGGACAAGAGAGAAGACGTTACATTTTGAGGCAGGTTCCAGAGATTTTGATGAACACCCACGCTCTGTACCTAATTGCATAAAAAGAAACTTCACACATTCTGTTACCTGACGTAGAGAGAGATGGGAACCACGGTGTTGAGGATGATGACGTAGGACCAGAAGGTGAGGAAGGCTGAGAAACCGGCATCGGTGTCGTCTTGCCTCGGCAGGAAGACCGTGAACTGGGAGCCCTCGTTTATCTCCCAGAACCAGTTGCCTATGGCCAGGATGGTGCACATGAAGGCGAGGAAGCCGAAGATCTGCAGGGAGAGGACGGAGGTCAGAGGTCTGAGTGAGAACTGGAAATTTGATCTGATTTATTTTCTAAATTATTTGCTAGTTTTCCATATTTATTTTCTGATATTTTCTATTATTAACTCGATAAATTCAAAGTTTCTATGAGTGTCTTCTTCTTGCTGCTCTGGGTTATGGACCGATCGATCTGTTTATTACAGATAAACCACAATCTCTGATTTAAAAATTGAGCAGCTTAATCGATCTCAGCATCTAAAGCGGACAAACACCACGGAGGACTCACACAGAGGACGAGGACGTTCATCAGACGATCGATACTGGTCCTCTTGAACGTGCTCTTCCCACAGTTCTGCATCAGCTTCGACTCTGGACCTGCGAGAGAAACGGAAACGAATCAGAGAAACGGAAACTCAAATTATTTCCTCCAGACAATTAAAAAAACTTGAATTACCTCCCCACAGTTTCAGTCCCTTCATGTGTTTCTAACAAATCCATCTAATACGTTCTTCTCAGACCTACGTAATGTCCCTGAGAAGTGCAGTAAGAGTAATGTCTCTCTACATATTATTTACAGTTTCCACTAGTTTCAATATCAACGCGAGTCCTTGTCCAGGAAACTTCCCGCTCACCCCCGAACAGCACCAGTCCAAAGCACCACTCGGTGTTCCTCAGGGTGCAGCCTCGCAGCAGGATCTTCTCGTTGTCCAGCGAGTACTTCTGACCGGCGTACGTCAGCGTTCCCGTGAAGCGATCGAGGCGGTTGTTAGGGGCTTCACATCGCACCTCGCCTTCAGGGGCAGAGAGGAGACGCAGCAGGTTTGAGCACGAAAAACACACGACTCCAGCTCGAATGTGATTTTTGCTTTTTTTTTTTTTTTTTAATGATACCATTGAAGTCAGCCAGTTTTTCTATGTTGTCTCCCAGGTCTCCTGTGATGGGCAGAGCCTGCCTCACCTTCAGGTTAGTTTCTCTGAGGACGATGGGAGGAAATGAAGAAGAGGAGGAAGGAAGGGGAGGTTGAGAGAAAGGGAGGAGGAGGAGGAGGAGGAGATGAAGAAAAGCAGAAACGGATGATGACAAAATGGAAAAAACGTAAGTGACCAGTGTTAAAAGAAGAATATCACTATGAACCCTGTTTTATTATTATTATTTTGTTTGTTTGTTTGTCAGCAAGACTGAGCAGAACAGATCTTTACTGAAATTAAAATAATAGGTTAAATAACTCAATACAATTTGACGGGAAGATCCAGGAATTGATTTGATCACTTTCTTTAAAACTGCGTTATTCAATGTTTTTTGACATTTCCCCTGATTCCCCGGGGAATAATAATGGATCTTAATGAGAAAAGAAAATCAGGCACATTAATACAGATTGTAATTCAAACACAAAGAACCCAGACTGACCCGTCGAGCTCTGCCGTCTCGATGTACACCAGGTTGAGCGGTTCGCTGCTGGAGAGCAACAGGAGGTCGGCCTGGAATCAAACGGACTCATCGTCACATGATGTCAGTTTGTTGTTGTGATCAACAAATGAACAAAACAGATACGACGGCAGCGTGTGAAGCTACAACTCTGTTATACATAACATGAACACACGACTTCTGATTTCTGTCTATTTTAAAAATGTATTCTGTCATTTATATCTGTAACTTTAGAGCAACAGCTTATTGGGTTTTATTTCTCTACAAAGTAAAAGAAGAGAGGTTGTAAAAACACTTTTAATCTGCAAACATGAACTTTTACTCTTTTTGCTCCACTGTAAATAAATAATAATAAAGATGGACGACGTAACGACATTGGATATTAAATAAATGAAACTATAAATAAGATGTGTCAAGGAAAGAAAAAGGAGATGTAGAAGCTTTTGTTTGACTCACAGTAACAAACTGGTTGTTTTCCAGCTTGATGATGTCTCCCACCTGCACGTCCATCCATTTCTCGCTCCTCAGTCTGAGAACAGGAAACAGACGCTCCTCAAGTAAATCACATTATTGTCTTTATCCTTATGTTTGATGGAAACAGTAACTGAAGCTCCTGCAGGATTTTTTACACACTGCACTGCCGCCACGTGATCGGCTGAGTAACTGTCTGCATGTTAACAGGAGCGCAGGTGTTCCTAATAAAGTGCTCGATGAGTGTTTTACATTATCACCGGTTATTTCTCAACCTCGATTCTGTGCCTGGAAACATGGAGACGAGCTTTGGAAGAACTTTTAGAGCTTCACTCGCGGAGACAAACTTAAAATAAATGTTTATGAGTAAAGAAAAATAAACTTGTGAACACTGAGACACGGGGACCTGCTGATTCTCTCTGGGTAGTTGTGACCCATCTGTTTGTTTCCTGTGCGTGAAATAATCGAAACTCTGTCCAGGAAAACCACAGGAAGCAGCTGCAGGGTGGTGGGGAGCGCTTGTTTTGTATCCTGTTGACCTGAAGTCTGCCATCAGAAATATTTAAGGTATGCTTGATCTGTCTGTGGGAGGTGAGGGACGCTGTATATAGACTTAATTCCATTATTAAAAATGCTATGACTACGAATAATGGACCCTGAGGTAGAGAAGGTTCTCTGAGGGAAATGATGATGAAACTTTATATATGATAAATAACAAGAATAATGTTTGGAATGTGTTTTACACGGAAGAAATAACGAGGACGGGTGTATTTCCCATGATTCATTGCACATAAATACACATATATACTTACTTTCTATCGATAAGAACTTGAGCCTTTCGGTTGTTGACTTGATTGTCGCTTCGGTGCCGATTCTGGAAACAACACACACACACACACACACACACAGACACACACACACACACACACCTCACTACAGGAGCAGATGGTCCCCGCCGCACGTTCACCGAAACCGCTGCCCAAACAAAAACACTCTTGTTCTCCGCGGTGAGCTAATGTTTAACTGCATCAGTTATTTCCTGCTGGTGGTTTGGTGTTAGGTCACCGGGTGCCACACGCAAACATTTAATTAAGCCAAGATGAAAACTCATTTTCCTCTCATTGTTTTCGAGGCTGTTTGTTCCGTCTCTGTTCTTCACAAAGTGATGAAAAGAAAAACAGTTTGTCCATTAACTCAAAGAAAACCTCCCTCTCCCAAAGTTCGGCTGTGAGGGGGAGCGAGGATTTTTAAGATTTCTTCATTAGTCTTTACTCCTAATGACTTACTTTTTGTCGTTAGCCCTATTTCACAACATTTCCACACGGCCGTTGAGCAAGAGTTTTACGGAAAAGGGACCGACTCCCCCGCAAAAACATGAATTCAGTCATTTGTTTTCAGCAGCTAGAAGTCGCCTGAGGTTGATCCACATCGACCTCTACTTGAAGTTAACCCAGTGATAAATGATTTGTGTGAATAAAATGAAATGTGTGTCGATAACGCACAGCGATGTGACAAAGGCCACTGACAACGAGATCACACGTTTTCCCTGAAGAGGAGAGTGAAAGAGGGAAGTGGAGATAATACGCAACCTAACACACGGTCACATGTCCGGGGTCATTGTTTCAAATAAATCAAACTATCATCGGTTCACTGTCAACTCTGTCTGTGATCCACTTTCATCAAATGTTCTTACGATGTCATCGGTGGCATCTTTGGCTGCCGTCACTGACAGCACGAGGACCAGAGGCACGACAGTGGTGAACCAGGACAGAGAGGAGATTTGAGGAATCACCTGAGGAACACAAACACACAAACACACACACACACACACACACACACACACACACACATACACTGACGATTACTTCCATCTTTCAGTTCCATTCGCCAAAGTGCTGCTCATTGTGGGAACTGTTGAGTTTCTCTTTACATTTTAAAGTCTTGACCCAACATGTTATAATTTGGTGTTTAAAGTTCAACGGAACTGAATACCTTTTATTTCAGTTCATTCATTTTTTGCCACGGACGTTTGTGACGCTCTTTGTGACTTTGTTTAGATTCGTGCAAAAGTTAAAAAAAGACCCAATCAGATTGTATCAGTCGCTGGTAAATACACGAGTTAACAGTGAGAAAGCTTCAGTGGTTCCACGCTGCTGCACAGCTCCAGCTCCTCGTCCTCTATCTGTGGTGCAACGTGAACATTTATTCACACGATGAGGCAACTTCCTGAATTGCACGTTGCACTTCCTCTACGTTCGCCCATATCCTGTTCAGCTGATGCAACGCTTCACTGTGAGAGCTGTGGACGAGTGGGGTTGAGCTGCATGAGCATGTGACTCTCACTGATGGTTCCATGTGATCACAGATACAGTTCCAATGGTTTATGAGACGATGAAACACATGCTACATTTAGAATCTGCGGGTGTCACAAAAAAAAAAGGCCTTTTTCACGTTTGCGTGAAATTTGCTCGACAGCTTCTGCGTGCGTGCGTTTGTCTCGCTCACCTGGAGCACCAGCAGAAAGAGGAAGTAGGCGTTTGCGATCCTCTGGAATTGCTCAAACAGGTTGAGAGGTAGGAAGGTGAAGAAGTTGTACTTGGACGTCTTGATGGCGTTCGTCTGGCAGAGGTGCACAGGGAGAGAGAGAAGAGACAAACGACCTCCATGAGAAAACACCATCAGAATAATGTCGCAAAATATAAAAGAGATTTGGAGGATCCGATATGTTTCTGGATGTTTTTTCAAGTCAACTTTGGGCAACAGAGAGGAATCCTGGTTAAAAACATCATGTTAGTCCTGACGGGAAGAATTTCTACAGAGATCCTCGCACCTCTGAGGCCTGATGATGGACACAGATCAATATCCTCCATCACAAAGCTGCATCTGTCTCATTACTCTACACAGTTTCTGCTGATGCAGCAAAAGAAAAAAACATTAGAACAAAAAAACTGCTGTGTGTCACGAGACTGGTGGGAAAGAAAACACTGATACTCTGCATGTTCAGTCGGGTTAGTTTGCATGTAGAGCACTTTGCTGCGACATGAATCCCTTCGACATTTACAGGCTGTTTCACGGAAATGTGCCGATGCATCCGGGATGATAACAGACGATCATGGGTTCAGACAAATATTTGCCGATGGTTTATGGTTCTCTGGAGATTCAGGGGACGGACTAACGGACAGAAGCTGGATGTGAAAACTGTAACTCAAGAGACTTGAAAGCACTCACTCTGCCGGAGTGTCCTTGAGCAACGAGATCCAAACAAGGCTGATAGTTGAAACCACATTTACGTCCACCGTGTCTACATTTTCATTTGCATCCGCACAAAACTGCACAAACTCCTGGAGACCGACCCTCTCAAGATTCACACTTACTTCTCCAATCTACGAATTTCATGGAAATTAATAATTATGCTATATTCAATGTTTCTTACGTCTCAAGACGAACGACCGCAATGAAAAGACAGAAGAAGAATCATCCAGACGTCTCCTCCTGTTCGAGACCCTCGGGGGGGATTTCATCATGTTATTTGAAGAATCCAGATTACACTCCAGATGTTGAACCTCTGGAGTGTAATCTGGTGAGAGCCCTCCGCTCTGTGCCAGGTGGACGTTATCATCGGCAGGCTGCGGGCCGACAGACCCTGAGTCACGCGTCACTCTATCACTGGATCTCTTCACCATAAACAAACTGACGCCCTCAGACTGAAGACAGCTGCAGAGGTTTCATGACACGAGCAGCAGAGAGAGAATGAGCTGAAAGGCTTTTGTGCTTTTTTCCACTAGTTTGATCAACTGGAGCTGAAGATTTAAAGAACTTTAACCAAACGAAACAGAAAAAGTTAAATATTCAAGAACTGGAGACACAAACAATACTTCTTACAATATTAGTTCTTATCAAGTCGAAGTTTGTGTCTGTCCGTGTGTACCTACAGTTAGTGTACTTGTATGCAATAATGAGTAGAGTATACTGAAATAAACTTATTGTATGATGTGTTGCATTTTCATGTTTATTTTATCGATTAAAAGGGAAAAGAAATATTAAAATACCAGGAAACAATTTGTTGATGTGTGTATCACCTTGTGCATAATGTGAACATTAATGTTTATTTGTGTACGAGGTATACTGAAATATACTGTATGTGTCTATATCTTTATTTTTTAGTTTATGCGTTCAAATGTGATTGTTGTCCTTGATTTATTGTTTATGAAAAATTATATATGAATAATCTTTAATATTTGTCGATATCCAATTTCTTCTCATTTCAAAATCATAACTTATTTGCTAATTTATATTTCAGACGTTTCACTTCCTGTTGGTCATCAGCTGAACTCTTGCTGCTCTGTTGAATTCGCTCATGCCGTTCTTCAGGATTTCAAACATTCGTCCGTGCATCTGTTTTTCTTTCTGTAAAGTTCATCACTCAGTGATGCAGAGTTTCGACCTCGCAGCAGCAGCAGAGCTGAACAAACTGAGAAGGAGTCGAACCAGCAGCGACTGAAGCTCTGACCTTGGCTGACGTCCAGTCTCCTGATAACCGCTCGGGCAGCGGGACACACCCAACAGAGTTTATCTGGAATATCTGGACTGAGAGAACGTGGTGGTTCAACTGTTTTGTCTAGAAGGTGCGTGCGGTGGTCTGAACCCTCTGTAAACGCCCCCCCCCCCTCTGTTTCAGGAAGCAGACTTTTGGAGAACAACCGGATGTTAAACTGACGACTGGATGTCTGAGTGACAGGATGACGTCAGCATGTGAACAGACACGTGTATTAGTACTTACTGCATATCTAAAGGACAGGTTGTATTCTCTGTCGTTGGCCCGGAGCTTCCTCTCCATCTCTGATGAGGACAGAAAAAAAAAAACATTATTATTATTAATTTATAAGATATATTAAGTTTTCTACCATGGAAAGTTTGATAGCATCTGATGATATTTAAAGAACTGAGGATCCACCCAGGTTAACTTACCCGTCTCTTTCTTCCTGACACAGTCCAGGCCAAAGAACGACATCTTCTTCCTCTTCTTCTTCTTCTTCTTCTTCTCCTGCTGCTGCTGCTGCTGCTATCTATCCATCATACATGTCTGTGAGGAACCAGAGAAAGTCGTTACACTTCAGCCGAGCAAAGGATGAATCGGAGTCGCCTCATATCTTCACTACAACATATTGACACACACACACACAGAGAAACAGGGAGGAGGGGACAATGTTTGACCGTCCAGCTGTGAGCCTCATGTGTGTGTGTTTATGTTTGACGCACGTGTGTGTGTGTGTGTGTGTGTGTGAGTGTGTGAGTGAGTCCAGCTTTACTCCAGGTTTGCATCAGCCCTCCAGCCTCTTAAAGTTTTTCCCATGTAGGGCGGCGTGACTCAGAGGGAGGATCCCCTTCTCCACTCATTCAACAGAGAGAGGGCAGAACACTGGTCGGTAACGAGCGAGTAACACTAATAAACACACGAGATGCAGACGTCACCAAACGCAGATCGACTGGATAATCTTCACAACAACCAGGCTGCTACGACACCCACATTACTGCTGACACCACAACAACCTGCCCGCCCATCTCCCGCTCCATCGTCCCTTCACTCATCGGCCCCGAGACACTTCGGCTCTGAGGCCCCAGGAGAGGAGCTGGGATCTTTTCAACGTGTTGGCCTGCTCCTGCCAACGTTTCCAGGATTAACAACCTTAGCTTTAATCTCTTCATCCCAAAGTGAAGACATGACCCGAAAGAGAAGTTGTTAGTAAGTCAGAAGAAGAAGTAAGAAGTAAATCTACCATATGAGTTGTTTTTCTTATTATAAAAACCACAATTCAGGAACAGGAAATTAACGTGCGCGTGTGTGAGACAGGAAGAGGTTGGTTTTTGAAGTCCTGCCCCTCAGCGTTCGATGCAGAGATGACATCACAGTTGGAGCTATAAATAACAACCACATGTGTTTGTTGAAGAATGTGTGTTTTACCGGGAATACCAAGGCTGAACACACACACACACACACACACACAGACACACACACAGTCCACCTATTCATTGACTGTAAAACTAAATTAACGACCCAGTTAATTCTGCAGCCAAACCCTGAGTCATGTGACCCTTCGCAGAGGGACGTCTCTGGTCTGGAAAAAGTGACATTTAAACTCACTGCAATCATCATGAAGCTTTAACGAGACTTTAACTTTGACTGACTGCTGAAACTCCACTGAGACCAGGCTGGTTCCAGTGAATTAAACCGTTTTCAGATGTGCACTGCAGTCCAGACATTCTCCTGAAATTTTCCAGAGGGGCTGTATGCGAGAACTAAAATGTTCAAGTGAGTAGCTGCGGACATTTTCCCAGAACTTCTCCTGCAAGACCCCCGGAAAAAATATAATTTACAGAGAATTCACAGTTGTGTAGCGTTGACAGGCGCAAAACTGGAGGAGCACAAAAATCTCAGGATGACAAAGAGGAGCCACAGAAGATGCGGATGAAATTTCAAAAGTCCAGTCCCCAATTTTCTGAAACACTTTCTGTTCATGTCTGAAACGGCTCAATGTCCATCTGTCCTGAGATCGTTATAAACGCTTGAGACAAACATCTGGACCCTGACACACGCAGCCTCAAGATGAGATGAGCCTTTATTGATCCCCGAGAAAATTGAATTTGACAAAGCAGCAGAAGTGCGAGAGGTACTCACTCTGTAGGGTCTCTCTCTCTCACACACACACACACACACACACACAGGAATTAATGTTATTCGCGGCAAACAAAGCTGTGTAACAGAATCCCAGTGTCACAGTCACCTGTGACTGGTTTCACAGGTCAGAGGTCACGCAAATGAATGGATGTGTTGTTGGATCAGTGATCTCTAGTTTCTCAACTGAACAGAGCTCTACTATCAGAACCGACTTCTCTGCAGCTGAAACAAAGAGCCTCTGAGTGTGTGTGTGTGTGTGTGTGTAGACAGAGCTGTGTGTGTTTAATGGCTGAAGACCACTTTTGTGTTTTGAGAATAGGTTTCCAACTTTCTTTTCAACTGAGCTGCAGATTAACTGATTAAATGGATTCATGGAAATTATAACTATCAACTATTTTAATCATCAAATAATAATTTCAAGGGAAGGAAATCGATAGAACAATCGGCAGATTAGCTGACGAGGAAAATAATCATTCACTGAAGCACCAGTGGACACGACAGAGCAGTTGACTTCCTCAGAATATCATTTACAGGAGGGCGAAAGCTTTTATCTCAGTAAATGTGATTTTATATCACGACAACATCCTGATTATTAGTTCTATACATTATTAAAAGTCACCTCACTAGAATGACGTGAAACAAACAGAGGGAGAAGAAAAGAAGAGCTCTGTGCTCACAGGAGTGAAACTGAGAGCAGTGTTTGACTTGAACAAGAGCACAAACCTCTTGAAACTACAAGAGGACGACAGAAGTTATTGTTATTACTTTCCTCCGATCAGCCAATCAGACAAGAGCCTGCGGTTTCCTGTGTGTGTGTATTTGATTCAACCAGAAATGTCAAGAACTGCATAGAGGAGGAGTTTGCATTTTTGTTTCCAGCCTGAGAAGAGAGGGTTCAAGGGTGTAAACAGAGAAGCTCTTCGTGGCTCTGAAACATCTTGAGCTCTGAGAACAAACAAAGAGCTTCAGGGAAACATTGAGAGCTCCTCAGGCTACAACCACTGAGAGGAAGAGTTTAAGATACAACAGCTCCAGGGCACAAAAACATTAGAGGAAGACACCCAGACTGAACATCACCACAGTCCTTCTACCTTTCCAAAAACAAATATCAACAGTCCGTCCAAACAGGCCTGACCCCTTACGCCTAGTTTAAGCTCCTCATTTCCGTCCTTGAGGGCCGTGACACACTCCAGAAATAAACTAATACTAGCACATCTGTGAGGCGTCATTTCGGCTCCTCATGCTGAGCTTATTTTAACTTGCCGCTGATTGTGTCTTGAGCAACATGGATTACGTTGGAAGCAGAGTCTGTGACCAGGTCTGTCTACAGATGACGCTTCAGTAGGAAAGCACAGGGATGAGACGGAGACAGTGAGTAAAGATGAGGCGTTCTCTAGGAAACTGTCAGTGCACACAAGCCCAAAGCGTTGCCATACCAGGCCTGTGCCTGAAAATCCATCATGAACTTACAGAAAAGCCTTTGTTGAGGTTTTTATTTGAATCTTTGAAGGAAAAATTGCTAAAACACAAACTCCTGGTTTGTGTTTTCAGGAGAACTCTGCCTTTAACATTCCAGCTGCTCGTGTTCTCTGCTGCACCTCTATCAGCAGGTACTCGTCTTATCAGGCTCATAGCTAATAATAGCTCTCACACACTCTGTGTGTTTCAGAACAAACTGACAGCAGTGAAGTTACCTACAGAAAGACATGCAGCCACAAAGGTCAGTTCATTAATCAATTAGCCGCTCGACAAAACGATAATCTGTAATTATTTTGATAATTAATTGATCAAAATAATAATCAATGGAAAATGAAAAGAAGAAACAATAGTTTAACTGTCGTTTGGACAAAACCGACCATCAACCCAATAAATCGAGAATAAAAACTAGGAGATTAATCAGGAAATGAAATAGTTGGTTAGTTGCAGTCTGCTGGAGCAGAGGGACTTTCTTCACCTTCATTGTGTCAGACCAGTAACAACTGTCAGCTTCTGTCCGTGTGTTACACAGCACATCCTGTGTTGATACCAAAAACCTCAGATCATTGACCAAAACAATTGATATTCCCATAAGAAAGGAAGGAAGGGAGGAAGGAAGGAAGGAAGGAAGGGAGGAAGGGAGGAAGGGGAGAAAATATTGAACAGTAGCACAGAATCAAAACCCAGCTTTTAATTCTAAAAACTTTCAAGTAAAGATCATTTTCATTTTCAGTTCAGAGAAAAGACTAAAACCTCAATCCTCCCTAATGTGTGAAAACAGCTGCCGTTGATTGTGCAAACACTTAATATTGTGTGTCGCTGTAGTTTCATCATAACTACCTTCAGGTTTCATCCCAGAAATCTGTAACAGGAACTCAGTGATAAGAGGAACTTCTCGCCAATTTATTGTCACAACAGCTCATGTGACATTAAACAGTGAATTTAGATTTACAGTAAAACAAAACCAAACATAGAAGCTTTTTAATCTATACGACCTTTAAGAAAAGATTTAGATCATTAAATACAAAGTGGAAAAGCATCGTGACTCATATGACGACTATCTTCAAAGTTTTTCTGTGACACTGAACCAAAGAGAACATATTTGTTTTAGTTTGTTGGTTTTTCCGTTAATTCACAGCCTCAGCCTTAACGACCTCAATGACGTGATACTGATAAACATCAGCTTTGTACAGAGCAGCCACTGAAAAAGTTCTCCTTTATTTTATTAAAGTGTGTGAGTGTGTGTGAGTCTGTCTCTACACAGTCCCATTATCCTGACATTAAGCCAAAATATCCGGGATGTGAACTCCGCCATTTTACGCATTTGGAGCCAGAGTCTGCACATGGGGGGAGGAGCTGATGTAGCGAGGTCCCATCAATACAAACACTCAATCAACTGAATGTCAGTCTCAACTGTCAGTCATAACCTTCACCCCATTTTTTATGAACTACCTAAAATGACACAAACCATTTTTGAGAAAATTTTTTATAAGGTCCCATCCACTAACCTGGAGGAGGTGGGGGTTAAGACCTATATTGCAGCCAGCCACCAGGGGGCCATCAAGATGTTTTTGGCCTCACTTTTGGGGAGCTGCCATGTTGTTAATCAATAATATACATGGTCAAAGGTCAACAGCATCACAACTTTACATGATGCAGTCACTGAAATTTAAAAGGTGTAGTTGAGATCAAGAATCATGAAAGTCAGGTATGAAGATCAACATATTCATTCATGCTCAGTGCTAATGTAGAGATGATCAATAAATACTCAATACTAAATGTGATAATGTCATAATGACTTCTGGATACAGCTGATGTGATTCTTATTTCTTATTATTATAACAAAAAACCTTCAATCCAAGAAATATCAGTAAAAACTCAAACTCAAGCAGCTTTTTCTGTTTCCTGAGAGGAAAGATCTGCCGGGCAGCTGTACAGCAGCCTGACTGGGGTCCTGACGACGGTTTGCTCATTTCCCACTTATCAGATTTCCTTGTTCCTGTCACTCACATAATGTTCAGACCTCCACAGAAACAGAGTCAATCTAACCGATAACCAAGTGAGTCACTGATTCATGTTTTTCCCAGTAGTTCTGAGGAAGTTCACTCTTTCATTACTCTCCCATTCACAACAAGAGAAAAAGCTAATTAATCATAAAACCAAAAGCAGCGTCACACCTGGGATGACAGGAATTATTCCTCTGAGAACTTTACGCAGTGAAGTGATTTGTGACTCGGATGCATGTGCGATGCCCGATGTGTGAGATGTATACACAGACGTAAGCATCCAACCCCATTACGACCTCATTCCAGCTGACGACAGACACAATAACAAAGTGAGAAGCAGTTATGACACAAGGGAACAAAACAGTAGCTGCGCTTTGAGCAAGAGCCCAGAGCGTTGCACCGAAAAGGCCCGAACAATCGAACCTCTGAATTATTCACCTGACCTCTCAGGCCACAAAGCCACTCCTCCTCTCATCTTACCTGATAACAACCTCACATTTTATTGACCTTCAAAGCTTAATAATCTGCCCAATGTACCATAAAGACTCTCTGACTCCTACTGTGCCAGACGCAGGGTCACAGCAGTCCAACAACGAACCAACGACAAGCCGTGACACCGAGTTGGCTTGAAATTGATTTGTAAGCAAGTTATTGATCAACCTCAAATACAAGGAACTACCTTCACTCATTCAAGATTTTATGAGTTTCATTTCCTGAAAAGGTTCACGTGCTGCAATGTTAAGAAAACACATACTGAACTTATACTTATATATATACCTGCTCCTCTTTTGAGCCTCTGTCTCGAACACTTGGTTTTAGCTCCGGTCTCTTTTAGACCCCCCCTCCTGATAAAGCTAAGATGCTCTGTTTGAGCAGCTGCTCAACTCTGTTGTCATTGGTCAACCACTCTGAGAGATCTTAACTGATAAGATAATCATAACAAAACGTTTGTGTCATTGTTCTCGAACGTCTCGGTTTATGCGTCGAGATGTGGAGCACATGGTCCAGATGTTTCGACTTTTCAGTTTAGTCTTATCCCATGAATCAGATGTGAGAGGTTCCTCAGACCACGGTCTGGAGCGACAGACCAGACTCGGAGGTGGTCTGAGTCTGGATCTAACTGAACTATCATTTGTTGGTAAGTTTCCAGCATGAAACCACTTGTTTACACTTGTGTGGAGTACTGCGCCTGAAGATGCTGATCGTAAAACCAGAATGATATTCCAGTGGAAACCAAATTTACCAAATGAACTGGTTCATTCATTTTCTCAATTCAAACAGAAAGACTACAACCGGCCCAACTGACAACACGCCGACATCAGATGCACACACGTCTACAAAACAATCAATGTCAAGCAAAGGTAGAAGCCCACGTACGTGATGACGACAGGACGTACGTGAGAGAAAAAGATTTAGTCTGCTCCCTACATTACAACATGAAACCAAAACTAACCAGATAAAACGTAAATAAATGAGTTTTTATTTTAAAGAGTTGTGATCATGGGTATGAAGATTGTGTCTGTATTTTAACAGACGTCTGAGCGGCAATGTGTGAGACAAGTTCAGTAAATGAAATAATGAAAAACTTCACTGCAGATAAACCAGGTAGGATGAACACAAATGTATCTCACTTCACTCTGCATTAAAGACTGTTTACTGTATATTGTAGATACCTTTGCTGAGCATCAAGCTCAGGTTTAGTATACAGTCACTGCTGCAGTTACCACTAGTACAGGACATGAATAAATACTTTTACCGCATTACGATGGAGACTTTACTCATAACTGATCACCAAACACACAGTACAACTACAGCACATGTACATAACAGTGCTCAGGCGTATCATCATTATTACTATCGACACATTAACTTTACTTTTACCTAAAGCAACAAAACAATGTGTTGAGTCAAAACTTTGTTAAACTAACAGAAGTCAGTCGCTGCGGTTTTTGTGGAAGTGACTCTGATGAGAAGTGAAGAGAGGGAGAAAAGAAAGAGAAAGAGAGAAAGAAAGAAAGAAAGACAGAAAGAAAGTGCAAATGAGAGTTTCCTCCTTCCTCTGAAACAGACTCTTCTACCTTTTCTTTTCTTTTCTTTTCTTTACTTTCTCTGACTCCCTGCAGGGAAGCGGCGGCGACGAGGAAGCGAGGAGACAAGCGCGCACTGGCTTCCTGTTCGCCCTTTCTCCTCCATCCCCCTTTAGTCCCCCCCCCCCAAAAAAAATCAGCCTCACCCTGTCAAACTCACCCTCCGCCTCCACCTCCTCTCTCGCACCCCTCACCTCCAGGGTCAGTGAGAAGCGGTTCTTCTTACCGTGCGTCCCGGCGTGGAGCGGCGCGTCCTGGCGCAGAAAGTCTCCAAACTCCGAGGAGAAAACGAGGTCTGGTGTTTTCCTCCTGGCCTCCCACCACCTCCTACTACTCCCCTCCCTCTCTCACGCTCTCCCCTCCTCTACTTTCTCCTCCCATCCTTCTCTCTCTCTCTCTCTCTCTCTCTCTCTCTCTGACTCCTCTCACCTACAACTCATTTGGTAAAAGGATTTCTCGTGACATATAAAAATCACGTTTTCCTTTTGAGACCTTAACAATTTTACTTATGACTTATCTCAGAATTGTCACAATATCATAAGTCATATAAATATCATTGGGGAAACACTACTACAGTATGTTAAGTTATAAAATACCATACTATAACAAGGTACAACTATTTTTACAGCAACAAATGACACTTATGACGCTATAATTGTCTCCAACTTCCACAGTTTTTAAAGTTTTTAATTGACCTGCTGTATGCATTGAAATAACACGACCACAAGAGGGAGCTCTGTTGTCAGTAAAGACATACACTGGGGAAAACTAAATCACAGCTGTTAGATTTTAATTCTTCAGACTCTGTTAGTTTCTACTCATTGTCCAAATAGAAAATATAGAAATAAATACTCATAATGAAGTTCAGCATGTCATGAATCTCTCTCTGCGGTTTCCTTCTTCGTCACTAACGAACACCTGAGGTCAGACTGAGCTTCAGAATGGAGCCAGTGGGTGTTCAGTGTTTGGGAGGATGTAGAGATCAGTCCTTGTCAAAGCTTAATGCTGTAATAACTTCCCAACTTTCCTGAGCCGTTAGGATTTACAAACTCTGAACAACTTGCAAATATGATAGACTGACATGTACACCCATGAATCGTCAGTGGTGATGGAACTTCACAAAGCATCGAACCACAGCCAGGTTCAGCACTTTTCGTTTCCGCTATTTGCAGCGCTTTTCTGTATTTGCATGTGTTGTGACTTGTTGACCATTGACGAAGTTGTTTTCTTAATTTGCACTTTTGTTTTCTATCTGCATGTGTTTTCTTAATTTGAGCGTTTTTATTAACTTGCATGTGTTTTTCTAAATTTGCAGCGCGTTGTTTTGAAGTCGAACAAGTCTTTGAAATATCCTGATAGTTATAATCAGATCGTTTTATAAAGAGCGGCTTGTTTAAGTCTCTGTTTATGTTTTTAATTTCCAATTCTGATATGAAGAGTCAAAACAATGTGGACGACCTTAAACGCGAACCATCTCAGTCCACCTTAACAATAAATAACATGAGGGGGCGCGGTCGAGGATGTCGAGTGACGTCGCCGTCGCTGATTGGTCGTACCGTGGCTGGTATGCAAATGAGCTCGGAGGGGCGGGCTCTCCGGGACGAGTAGGTGACGTCAGTTCCCTCGTTGACAGAGAGCGAAACAAACATGGCGACGGACTGGAGCGGACGAGGGCTCACGATAACTTCACTCGTCTTTTCTTGTGTTTTCTTAAGTGGCGAGGCCGCGGCGGTGACCCCGGAGCCGAGAGGTGTCACCCGGATACTCGGCTGGAGGCTGGAGCAGAGCAACACGTCGGCCGGGACCACCGAGGCTGGGGTTATCCAGGTGACCGAGGGCAGCGACATCCTCTTCAGGTTCTACGGGCTCCACTTGTTCCCCAACAGCTCGGCGCTCATCAAGTTCACGGAGCTCAACACCAGCGACAAGTTCGAAGCCAACACGACCGCCCTCGACAGGACTTGTCTCGAGCACACGAAGGACATAGTAGTGAAGGGGAGCATGCAGGTCCGCAGCCAGAACACCTCCGGGCTGGTCTTCCTCCAGATCAAGCAGCTCCGCAAGAGCGAGGTGTTGAAGGTGTTCGCCCTGTGCGTCCGCGACCCGCAGGCGGAGGAGTGGCACCAGCTGGACGACGGAGACGGCAGACTGGTGGTGGTGGAGGAGAAGAAGTCCCTGATGCCCATCTGGCTGCAGGTCATCCTCATCTCGTTCCTGCTGGTGCTGTCCGGCATGTTCAGCGGGCTCAACCTGGGGCTGATGGCGCTGGACCCGATGGAGCTCCGCATCGTGCAGAGCTGCGGCACCGATAAAGAGAAGAAGTACGCGCGGAAGATCGAGCCCATCCGCAGGAAGGGCAACTACCTGCTGTGCTCGCTGCTGCTCGGTAACGTCCTGGTCAACACCACCCTCACCATCCTCCTGGACGACCTCACCAACTCCGGGGTGGGCGCCGTGGTCGCCTCCACCGTCGGCATCGTCATCTTTGGCGAGATCGTGCCCCAGGCGCTGTGCTCCCGGCACGGCCTGGCGGTCGGGGCGAACACCATCATGGTCACCAAGTTGTTCATGCTCTTGACTTTCCCTCTGTCGTGGCCCATCAGCAAGATCCTCGACTGCGTCCTCGGCCAGGAGATCGGCACCGTGTACAACCGGGAGAAGCTGGTGGAGATGCTGAAAGTCACCGAGCCCTACAACGACCTGGTGAAGGAGGAGCTCAACATGATCCAGGGCGCGCTGGAGCTCAGGACCAAAACCGTGGAGGATGTCATGACGCCAATAGGCAACTGTTTCATGATCCACAGCGACACCGTGTTGGACTTCAACACCATGTCCGAGATCATGGAGAGCGGCTACACGAGGATCCCCGTGTACGAGGACGAGCGCTCCAACATCGTGGACGTCCTGTTCGTCAAGGACCTGGCCTTCGTGGACCCGGACGACTGCACCACCCTGAAGACCATCACCAAGTTCTACAACCACCCGGTCCACTTTGTCTTCCACGACACCAAGCTGGACTCCATGCTGGAGGAGTTCAAGAAAGGTCTGTGGAAGTCATGTGGGATTGTTTTAGAGAGACAGGCCCAGAGGTGGAGGTGCAGAGATCTGACAGTGTGTGAGTGTGTGTGTTCACAAAAGTAAGTCTCCATAATGTAAATCATTACATTTTAGGTGAAGACATGTTGTAAGGTGAGGTTAAGTTAAGGGTTAAGGTCAAGATGAGGTTTAGATAAGTGGTAAATATGTGGAGTGAGTCTCCATGAGATCAATGTGAGTCAATGTGTGTGTGTGTGTGTAATGAGAGGCTGTGTGAGTGTTTTTGATTGAATGTGATGCTCTTTCTGTGCGACATAAAGGGAATGTCTCAGGTCAAAGTTTAACTCCACACGAAGCCGCACTGCGACTTGCTCCGCCACAGAAAGTGAATGTTTTATGGGGCTGTGAGGGTTCGACACTGAAACATTAAGGTTGTTTCACGTTGACAGTGACCAACGTGGTTACAGATATCCGAGTTGTCGTTAAGAACGTTCAAAACACAAGTTAAATAATGTAGTAACCGTTTCATCCCTCGTTGTATGACTTCTGCACTGATATTGAAGGGTGCAGGGTCATTTAAAGCTGCGACCATCAGATCATTGATCAATTAATCCATCAATAGAAATCAATCTGCTGCTTTTACTTACAAGGTCATTCTTTAGATAAGTTCAGTTCACTTTTATTAGCAAAAAGACCAACAGTGAATCGACTTGGTGGTCAAACATGATGATAAACTGAATATCTGTGTAGTTTTGTTCTGTTTGGTCAATACAAGATATCTGAGGACATCGTCTTCAGTGTCCTGCAGTGAGACGGACGTGACGCGACTGTGGTTACTGTTTGCATTTTACTCTTCTGCCAGACTCCCTCTGGTCTCGACTGTTCGATATCAAAGACACAATAGTTGGAAATCTCATGTCGGTGTTACTCTGGTAAATACTTTCTATGTGTGAAGGACGGATACGGAACCAAATCGCCATGTTTGGTGTTTACTACAGCGTGTAGACCGGTGGTAGGAGTATTGAGAATAGAGCTGCTTTTAAATCTCACAGTCCAAAACATATAAACATCGCTTATCACAGAAAATAAACCAAGGCTGTGTTCTTCTGACAAATAACAACTCTGCTGAGAGGCTTTGTTGAGGCTGTGCCAGAAATCAGATGTAACAACAGTCAGGTTTGTGACTGGTGATATCAAAACACTTCCCCTGTTTCACTTCTCTCTCTCTCTCTCTGCGCTGCTTTTCCTCTTTCCACACAAACACACACTCCCTCTCTCAGGGGAGGACACACACACACACACACTGACGCCATCTCCCGCAGGGATGTATTTTTCCTTTCTCAGGCATCTCGTCTCAAGGTCACAGACAGTAGACACACACTTGCTGTGTCTGTAGCTCAGTGCGGTGAGGAGTGAGTGATTGCCTTTCTGTCTCTGTCGTAGCATCAGTGTGCGACTGTCAGACGTAG